AAGAATTTCAAAAATAAAAACGAAATTAAAAAAGCTGTTCATGGATTACAGCTGTCTCGAAATACTGTAATGCGCCGTATAGAAATAATAAGTAAAAACTTAAACGAACAACTACAAAAAGATATCGCCCTCTGCGTTGCTTTTTCGCTTCAGTTTGACGAGTCAACAGATGTCACTGATACTGCACAATTACTTGTTTTTATTCGGATGGTCTTCGAAGATTTCTCGACCAAAGAAGAACTGCTAGGTATGATTTCCTTAAAAGGAAAAACTCGTGGCCTTGATATATTCACGGAATTCAAAGCATATATTTGCCAGATTAAGCTATGCATGTATAAACTCGTATCAATGACGACTGATGGAGCTCCTGCAATGACAGGTATTCATAATGGTTTTATTGCTCTTTGTCACAAGGACGAAGATTTTCCAGACTTCATTAGCTACCACTGCATAATTCATCAACAAGTACTGGCTAGTAAGAGATTAAACACGAAACATGTGATGGATATTTCTTTTAAGATTGTAAATTCCATAAAGGGAAAATCCCTCCAAAGGCGGCTCTTTAAACAGCAATTAGATGAGAAGGAACCAGAATTGGCAATGCACACTGACGTGAGGTGGTTGAGTCGAGGCAAGTTTTTGCAAAGATTTCGAGATCTATTGGACGAAATAATAAAATTTCTTGACGAAAGGGGTGATGATTATCAGCAATTGCGTGATTTAGACTGGCAATGTGATTTAGCTTTTTTGGCAGATTTTACTGGAAAACTGAGTACATTAAATCTGAATCTACAAGGCAAGAATAAAACATTAACAGAAATGATGAGTTCCATTGCAGCGTTTCAATGTCAAACAGCGTCTATGATAGTTGACATAGAGAAGAAAAAATTTGAACAATTTGTTAACATCAAGGATCATATGGAAAAACATCCTAATTACAATTTCATTTCCAAGAAATATACGACAGAAATTAGGGCAGTGGTAGCAGACTTCGAAATTCGCTTTGGTGATTTCAGAAAAATTGAGAACTTGGTTCAATTCATCAGTTATCCGTTCAATGATTCCATTGATCATAGTGATATCTATGAATTGGCTACAAAATTTGCAGATACATTTCAAATGGAGCACATGATGTTACAAAACGAAATTATTACTCTGAGCTGCGACATATTTCTTAAAGCAAGGTCATCCTCAGGTCAAGATTTCTGGGCATTGGTTTCCAAAGAAAAATATCCAAATTTGAAGAATTGTGTTGAACAACTTCATTCGTGTTTTGGTTCAACATATTTATGCGAATCAGCATTTTCCTACTTAAAGCAAACAAAAAGTAAACAACGTTCTCGCTTGACAGACGCTCATACATTGGATTCTTTAAGGTTGGCAATCTCCAACTACAAACCTGATTATGCTAAACTAGTGGAAGATACTCAGACGCAATGCTCACACTAATATATATGTAAATAAGTAGTTACTAAGTATAATTTTCACATTTATGTTTTTTCTCTTAATAAAAAAAATGCTACATGATTGTGTACTGAACTATGCTGTTTCATTTAAGATTTCTAGAAGTGGTAGATCGCACAGAGTCTCGTTAGTGAACAAGAGATCTTGGGTCCAATCAAGTTGGCCACCCCTGATCTATACTAATATAATAAAGCAGAAAATATAGATCTTTACTCCGTCTAAAAAAAAGTCCGCGATACCATATGTCTATTTTTTATATATAAGCCACAATTAGGCATTTTGATTTTGACAAAAAAAATGAAAATTTAATTATTAGGCATGGCATTTTTATACTTAGTCCTTACGAACGAAAGTTACTTCATTATCAAGACAATTTTTTGAAGATAAAGTTCGTTCTTTATACCATGTTTATATAGTACATAGTTTAAGAGATAATGTAAAATTAAAATAATTCAATACTTGGCCTTGACGCGCAAACAACGCATAACCCTTAGCCCGGTGTGAACTGAGAAGCCAGTATTGAAAGCTTCTATGAGCGAGGTTAGGTTAGCCGTTAGTTCAATCATTATCTATATCTACACAAATAAATAAAATTGAAGTGTCTGTTTGTAATGTCAAAATAACAGCTTTTTACTAATTGCATATGAAATTATATACGCTACTTATAACATTAACACTATTTTCAACAGTTTTGTATGTCTATCAGTCTGTTTGTTCCGATTAATTTCCAAAACGGCTGGACCGATTTTGACGGGACTTTCACTAGTAGATAGCTCATGTTATAAGAAGTAACTTAGACTGCTTAAATTTTAGAAAAATTATTAGGTGTCCGTGCAACAAAATTAACACCCTAAACTAAATGCGGACGAAGTCGCGGGGAACAGCTGGTAGCTAAAATAAATTCAAAATTAACTGAGTGCTTTTATTTATCTCCCAGGTGAGCGTAACAATGATTAGTTACATCTTTATTTCTGAACTCTTTCATTTCACGTTGCTATGGTATTTTGAAAGTTTAATTGATTAATAAGTATAAGAGGTTGATAGCAAATTTATCAAGAATCATTTCTTGCCTACACACTTTCATGTATCGTGTACGTTTTTCTTTAAAACTGGATAAAACCGCGCATAGTATGCCGACAGATAAAATAAAAGTACTCCATTAATTATGACAATTTTTCCATACATTATTATCAAATAAAATATTTGATTGCAATTATAAAATGCTTGAACTAGGTGTCATGTCATGCCACGCATCTCGGACACGTGATGACGCGGGTGAAACCGCGAAATTATTAGGCGCTGCTTTATCGCTTCATATTATACCTCTGTGGCTCTATATACCTAATATAGATTGCTTACTTTATTATGTTTAGTTTTTCCCGAGTGACCACTCGGGAAAAAATGCAGCGATCACTCAAGAGTTCGGCTTCGAACGTGTATAACTGCAAAAATTATCCAACGGGAACGAAATACCTGAATAAACGGTATCATATATGTTATTTACAGCTCCGTGGCGCAGTTGCTTAGCAATGAATTGTTGCACTGGCAGCCGCGGGTTCGAATCCCGCACGGAACAAGTATTTGTATGGCCTGCAAATAGTTGTTCCGGGTCTGGATGTTTGTAAACTGCCTCCACGATACAGGAGAAAATCCTAGTGTGGGGGTAACGTTTTTTTTTTTAAATAAAAAAAATAATAAAATTCCAGACTACAACCTATCTCTGAGCAAAATATCATCCAGGTCCCTTCAGCGGTTCTGGTGTGATTGAGTAACATACATCCATTCATCCGTCCATCCAAATATCCAAACTTTCGCATTTATAATATTTAGATAATAATTGTAATTAGTTCTGCCTACCTATAAATCGTTTTCAAAAATACTTACCTGTCTTCTTACTTTTTTATATATACTCAATATCACTAAATGTAAACACAGGTTTTTATCAAGACAAGTGACCCATCAAGATTGTTTTCTTAGTACTGACGTACCTACCTAAAGTTTACAATTTTGTGGCCACGACGCGGTGACGTTTTGTGACATTTTGTTGTATTGTAGGTTGTAGGTATCTAGGTAATAACAGTAGGTACCTATGAAAATCCCACATAATATGCCTTGTTTGTCCACCGCAAGAGTCGTCTAATAAATAATTAAACTGTTTTGTAATTCTTTATTTATTTATAACACTTGCATTGAGGGCCGTGGTAGCTCAGATGGTTAGCGCTCGCCGTAAGTATCACATTACGCGAGCAACCCGGGTTCGATCCCCGTCGGCACCAATGAAATTGTTGCAATTTTATATAGTAATCGTATATAGACTACTTTTTTTACCTTTATAAATTATATTATATTACAGACGAAAATTTTACAATATTGTCTGTCGTCCAAAACGCATCATTCATCTCTTTCAATTATATCAATTTCCATGCTGCCTTTTGTCTTTGGCGTCCAAATTACAAAATAGCAAAACTTTTCGTTTCGAATAGAACTCGAATGAGCGCGCGTCACCGCCCGTGCATGTGTGTGTAAGCGTCGTCCTCCCGCACCGCACCGGGGGAAACATTATTCAGTGAGATGCACGATAATTCATAGTAACATACGCGCGTAAAAAAATACGAAAAGGCCTTTAGAAGAAGGGGTTTTATGAAAAAACCACTGCATAAATCAATTACAAATAAAATTTATTGAATTCTTCGATAATTGAGCTGTGTCGGTACCGACTTTGTTTTGGAAATTTTACACTTCTTTTATTACTAATTTACGCCCAAAGTTGTGTTAAAATTGGCAATAAAAACGAATCTTTGGTAGCTCGTAACTTTTTAATAACATTTTATTTTACTATTCTGTTTCCGTACAGACAAATTTAATAATGAGACAAAACGATATCATGTTTAACTTTGGATGTACACTGTCAAACAGCGTAGTAAAACCCCTCCGAAATTTGTATGGAAATATTGTCGACTAGTGTCACCTTAAGGTCTAATCCTAGGACGGAAATTTGACTTTTTCAAAATTTGAAAACTGTTCCACACAAACGTTATTGGGATAGGTACTTATAATAAAAAGGCTAAAAGTAAATAAAATTTTCATAGAAAAAACTAAACTTTATAATAAAACTGGTAGATATATCAGCAATTCTTCAACATAAGTATATTATATTACATTTTGTAATTACTTTATCGTAAACGGCTCTAACACAAAGATGTATTTTTAAGTATTGATTTACCACCTCGTCGGCGGTAGGTACACGTTGAGGAAACCTGCATGTCTAAGTTTTTTTTTTATTTCTCATTGCATTAGGATCTAATACATGAGATTCTTCCTTGAATTAAATTCTTCTCAAGAGTGGAATGCGGTTTGTACTCGGCAGTTGAACCTATTTATTTATTATAAACAGGCATTTATTTCGTACACATAAATTGCATAGATAATATGCAATTTATGTTTACGAAAACCCTTTTATGTGTGCACTTTATGACATTTCATGGAACTAAATAGTAATAATAAATATAATAAAAATAAATATACTTCAAGCTTACCAGTATAGCAGACAGAGGTGAGTGTGATGGCGTGGGTGCGGACGAGAGTATTCTGCCGGCCCCATGGTACTCGCGCCAAAAATGGATCTACGAAGTCGAAGGCCGTTGCGATGGAAAGCTGCCAATTAAGTCGTTGCAGAAGCATAACTTCCCATTGCTGCAACAAACAGTTATGCTTATTAGATACAACTGTAAGCAAGATATGCTCTTAACTACTGAAAACATTCAAAATTCACACAATAAAGAGCTTATTTTTGATCTACAAAGAATCAAGAAGCATTACATAATCAGTAGTTTCTTGGATGCTAGCCTAACCTAAGTTAGAAGGCGATTATAGTTCCACGGAGCTACTCTCCGTGTCGTCTTTGGAGTTTTAACTTTTAATTTAGGTATAATTTGAGAGATTATTCAACCGGATTTTTTAGATATCCCTTAAATTACAAAAATCACTTGTTGCTTAACACCACGTTTGTTCTTTTGGTCGTTTAATAAAGTTATATATATAAAATTTAAAACTAATTTCTCAATTAACTGACATTGTGTAACAAAAACTTTACCTCAGTCATAACTAGTGACATCTGGTGAGTGGAAGATTACTTAGGCCTCATTACAAAGTTCTTGTTGTGAAAGGAGAAATACTAATTCTAAGCAATTGAATCGTAACCGTCATACACGACGGATCAGGCGGAAACCGCAAAAAATAGCAAACTATCAAGAATTAAAAGAAAGGGACGAACCAAGGAACCGGTGTTCCTTTGTTTACGTAGCAAAAATCGCATGTTGAACTTCAAGGGTGAAAGATAGGAGTAATGACAATAATAATGAGAAAAAAGAAATGGTTTCAGTTAACGTTATGATAACTAGATTATTTTTTTAAATTAAAATATAAAAAGAATAATTAAAATTGTTTTCGGATTTGATTGAAATTTACACGAAAATTATTGTTTCACATATAACATACTCTTTGATAAAGTATCATTTATAATAGCCACATTACGAAATTAATAATTGATAATCACTTCGTTCCTTTTTGCAGTCCTAAAAGTAGGTTAGTTAAAATCTACACTACGTAAACATAAACATTGAACACAAGTTAATAAATTATAAAATTAAAAAAAAAATCTAGAAAAAGCAATAACTTCTATATAAAACTCTCATTACTATTTAAGCTTTCTACAGCTTAATATTGTTTTGGTTTTAAGGGAATAATTGATGTTGTTATTGAAATGACTCCCCCGGAGTTCACTAAACCCATAGATAATACTTGGCCAGATAACAGACATCCATCGTGTGTAGTATAAAAATAAACATCCCTTTTATTTAAAAGGGACCATTTACGAGTAGGTTAGGAAGGTCTCTGTATCGCGTAAGAATTCTCAGATGACTTGATCAACTATAATTATTGTATACAAAAAATTGTATAATATATACTCTATTTGGCATTGGATACGCTTGAAGTGCATAATTGTCTTAATCTAAGAATTAATTGAGTGTGTGAAAAACAAACAGTTGGCACCAATGACAGTCACGCTCGATATCCTGCGAAAAAGTGAAATAGCCAAGGTAAAGTATGGGAATTGAAAATATTGTGTATGCCATGTGATATCATTATGTATGCGCAACGCACGCTTATCGAGATCATCAGACGAATTAATTGCAAGGAAGGATATGCCAGGACGCCATAAGGTACGACAAACCCACTTCGAACTAAACTCTGTTCGGCTTCCCACGGTCTATATATAGGAACTCCATAAATGCGTTCATACTACATCTTGTTGTTAATGGCTACACAATCACAAGATACCTCTACACATTTTGTTAGTTGATATACTAAAGTAATTTACTTTATCAGGCAATAAATGAAAAATAGAAAGAGTTTAGTAATATATGTGCGACGTGATGAGACGAATTCAACACGCTGCCAGGCGTGTGAATTGAACTAGAAGTCAAAAACTCACGGACATTAGCGAGTAATTGATGGAATCACACCTGCCTCCACCTACCAGCCTACAGTCACACAATATTACAATTACGGTGTTATCAATTTTCATAATAAACGTTTTGGGTGGGAATGAAAACATATTGATTAAAATTTACACTTCTTCAACTTTTACGTAACTTTCCGTAGTTTTGGGATATAATAAAAATTCAAAACATACAGTTCTATAAAAGTAGAAGCCTTATTTTGTCGTATTTTTAAAAACTGCAATAATGGTATAACATTATATTTGAAGTTTAAAATTTGGCTACTCTTTGAAAAATAACCCTGCATATTAAAGGGACACGGAAATAAAAATATATATGAAGCAGACAAATATGATGAAGCCTCTTTAAATAAATATGTTGACCTCGTTGTAACAATACTTCTTAACATAAGGAAGCGTCTTATCGTATGTATCAGTGTGTCAACCCACATTTCCGTCGGAAGTAAGCAACCACGCTATTCAATAGCAGAATTCGTCACAGGCTACAGCTACTTACAAGAAGGGCGACAAATTGTTGGTTGCCCGTAGATTGTGACAGTCGAGGAAGAAGTAATTACCGGAAACTCACAGGCAAGCGACTTTAAGGAAATGGGCAATATAAAGCCGTCTTCTTTAAGGGGTGAAGGAGTGACATTTGACTCCGCTAATCGAGTTCATTCACAGGAAAATCAAAACAGTGTGTAAAGACTTGCGGTTGCTACAGGATGTAAGGTGTAAGGCTGCGTTGAACTGTACGACTTCAAGTTTGATAAGGAGGCTCGATAACGTAATACCAAACAAAGAATGATATATAATAGTATGAATGTTACATATTACATAATGTTACATTTTAGTCCATTAATAATTCATGGCTATAAGTTACAGTTGTCTAGAAAGTTATTACCAGCTTACTGTACCCTTTCTAATTATGTAACCTATTCTAACTACAACTTCAATATACAAGACCTACCACAACAAACCATATTATATTCATCCTGACCGTTGTCCTCGTCTTAATAACATTAGTTTTCATTTCCTCAAGCTTTTTAATTAGTTATTATTATATATAATAATTATTATCTCATTAATTAACCATGTCGTGTCGCTGCGGTGTTTAAATTCTCTTGCTTGTGAAAAACCTATAGCCCATAAATTATCGTGGCATCTAGCGGATTAACCAGATATAAATATTAGTTTTATAATTATTTGAAATAAATGTGAACGCCATACCGCCTACGAAGTGTATCCGATACGGCGAATACCTCCTCTTCACCTATCCAAACCTTTTAGGCCCGCTCTATACATACGGAATTCCGTTTTGAGATTCCGTTTCGGAATTTCGAACGGTCGGCCACACACAAACGGAATCCCGTTTTGCCCGCAAAATATCGAACGGAAAACTACCGTACGTGTGTGGCGGGTCATAGATTTTATATGGACTTGCTGCGTTCGGGATTCCGAATCGGAATATCGAAACGGAATCTCGAAACGGAATTCCGTATGTATGTGGCGGGCCTTAGGGGTGGCATATGTTTATGGCAAGCAGTGCACTTGTGTAACTATAGAATCGTGGTGGCTTGGTTTTGAAGTTTTGTTTCGTTGTGTTGTATTTTTTTTTATAGAATTAGGGTGACAAACGAGCACACAGTCCACCTGATGGTAAGTGTTTACTGTGGCCCATAGACATCTGCATCTATCCTCGTTTGTGAATTAAAATGCAGATGCGTTGTCAGCCTTGAGGATTAAGATAGAATGCCTCTTTTCCAGTAAAATGGGTCTCCGGTTCTCTACACTCACCATACGAAACACAGCACTACTAAGCTGCCATTTTACGCTGGTATTCTGTGAGAGCGTGGTCCTTCCCCGGTCGAGCCGACCCATTCGTGCTAAAACTTTACTATTAATATAGCTGCAGCATGGCTCTACTACGTAAAAAAATTAATGTATCAGTATCAATTATAAGCAGATTTCGTTTAATGTCCATGTCACACCTATGCCGGTAGTTGTTGGGAGCACTAAGCTCGAAGTTGTTGACGAGTATGTTTACCTGGGACAAATAGTCCGACTAGGTAAGTCCAGCTTCGACCGAGAGGTCAATCGACGGATTCAACTCGGCTGGGCAGCGTTCGGGAAGCTACGACACATCTTCTCGTCAGACATACCTCAAAACCTTAAAACGAAATTGTACAACCAGTGCGTGTTGCCAGTGATGACTTACGGAACTGAGACGTGGTCCTTCACTGCTGGCCGTATGAGGAAGCTCAAGGTCGCTCAGCGAGCTATGGAGAGGGCTATGCTCGGAGTTTCTCTGCGTGATAAACTTAGGAATGAGGATATCCGCAGTAGAACCAGAGTGATCGACATAGCCGAACGGATTAGTAAGCTGAAGTGGCAGTGGGCCGGCCATATAGCTCGAAGAACCGACAACCGATGGGGAAGAAAGGTTCTCGAGTGGCAGCCTCGTACCGGTAGGCGAAGTGTAGGGCGTCCCCCCACGAGATGGAGTGACGACCTGGTAAGACATGCAGGAAGTCGATGGATGCAGGTGGCTCAGGACCGTGCTTTGTGGCATTCTTTGGGGGAGGCCTATGTTCAGCAGTGGACTTGTGAAGGGCTGTAATGATGATGAATGATGATTCTTTTAAATTATATATTTAATATTTTTAATAATTTATTTATTTTAATTATTAGGGAAAAACCCGGTAAGGAATCCAAAATCCTAGAAGTAGGATTGATTAAGTACTTTTTATAATTTAATAGTGTCGAAGATACTTTCTCCAAATTAACTATTAACACTAGGGCAAGCAAGCATAAACAAGAATAATGGGTAAATACTTTATGTAAACTTTTAATAAATATGACAAATAAATAATGAGACGATAGGTAATTTAACAGTGGTAGAGCCACGCGGCAGCTTTTGCTGTCGCACGGATTGGCCGGCTCGAACCGGGGTAGTACCACGACCTCACAGAAAACCAGCGTGAAGTAGAGGTTTACCTCTGCGTTTCCCTTGGTGAGTGCAGGTGGCCGGAGGCCCTTTTTACTGGAAATGAGGCATTCCATCTTAATCCTCACGGGTGACAACGCATGTACATTTTGATTTGTAACAGAGGATAGATGTAGATGTCTATGGGCCGCAGCAACCACTTACCATCAGGTGGACTGTGTGCTCGTTTGTCACCCTTATCCTATAAAAAATAAAGGTAAAGGGCTTGATTGTGATGGTGGAATCTATTAGAGGCACATGTTCAGCGGCCGACTTTTGACACGTTGTAATAGATGGATGAGAGCTGTAGAGTATTTTATAAGATTAATGATGGAGAAAAGGGATAATATTGTAAGTATGAGTTTTGTGACATACGAGTTTTTATTTATCCATTACTCACCAAAATCTTCAAACGACTGTATTTTTTATGTATGTACAGAACATTTTTCTAGGTAAACCGATTTTGATAATTATTCGAAAGCTGGTCATTCTCATGTGGTCCCATATAAGTTTGATCAAGATCTGACCAGTAGTTTTTGAGTTATCCTTAATAATTCGTATTTAATTGACTTCGACTACATTGATGTTCTCATTTTATTTATATTGAAGTTGGTTGTACAAAATTTTTAATTTTACCACTTGTTCGTTTAGAAGTCGTAAATTGCGTAAACATGGAAACGTTATAAAATGCAAAGTTCTTACCCTGACTTCATTTGGATGAACGGAGTTGTCGGTGTACGCGCAAAGTAAGTCCACGGAAAGCGGATGACACTGGCGGAACTTCGAAGCCAGTAGCATCGCAGTCACAGCCAGGAGTTGTAACTGCTGCCGCGAGATAGCCCGCTGTGCCAGAAATCTGTCCATGTAGCTCACCGCCAGGGGAAATACCTGCTCCTCGCATTGCTGCTCTTCACAAACCTGAATACGAAAAGAGGCGTCCACGTCAACTTATCTACGTTTTAAAGAAGAAAAAAAACGTTGCCGTAATATTGTTTCATTTTACCACGTTTTTATTAAGTCACTTTCTTGTTTATCTGTGGTTCCAGGTGGAATTTAGTAAGGAATTGATTTTAAACTAACTTCCCGATGAGCTGGAAACTTGCAATTTGAATACAGCTCAAATTCGGATTACAATGCTAGAATATGATTAAAAAAACGTGATAATATTTTTTTTATCAAAAATATCTATACAAATAAATAAAATTGAATTGTCTGTTTGTAATGTCAAAATTACAGCTTTTTCCTAAATGCATATGAAAGTAAATACGGTAAGTACTTCATAACTAAAATACAATTTTTGTCTGTCTGTCTGTTTGTTCCGGCTAATCTACTAAACGGCTGGACCGATTTTGACGGGACTTTCACTGGCAGATAGCTGATGTCATAAGGAGTAACTTGGGCTATTTTTATTTTAGAAAAAGAATTAGGGTTCCGCGTAAAAAAAACCCTAACACGCGAGCGAATTCGCGGGGAACAGCTAGTATTCAATATATCGGTTTGATATGACTTTGGATGTATCGGTTTTATGGATTTTAAGTATTTATTTAAATCAAGCTGTCATCAAGGTCATATGCGGGTTCTAAGAAATATGACTCCTATTCTGCCAAGGACTCAGTTGAGTAGGTACAACTCTCTTACTTGTTTCTGCCGTGTCAAATAGCGGTGCCTGCACTGCTGTGTGTTTGGTCCGAAGGCTATAGACACCAAGTATAAGTACAAACTGCGAGGCATTCCATCTTAGTCCTCGGAGGTGACATCACATCGGTAACCTTCCTTGTTTGCGTTCGCTACAGGTGTCCATGGACTGCAGTAGCCACTTACCATCAGATTGTGATTATTAGTATAGTTGTAGCACGAATGGGTCGGCTCGACCGGGGAAGGACCACGCTCTCACAGAATACCAGCGTCAAATAGCAGCTTAACACTGCTGTGTTTCGTATTGTGAGTGTAGAGAACCGGAGACCCCTTTTTACTGGAAACGAGGCATTCCATCTTAGGCCTGACGGGTGACAACTCATCTGCAGTTTTATTCGTAATCGAAGATAGACGTAGATGTCTATGGGCCACAGCAACCACTTACCATCAGGTGGACTGTGTGCTCGTTTGTCACACTTATTCTATATAAAAAAGTTAAGTTTTTTACTTTTTTTATAAAAAAAGGTGCCAATGTTTTATTCTGTCATTAACTAAATTACATTTTATATACTTAAGTGTTTGTTTTCAATTATTTGTTTATATATTATTAACATAACTAGATAACAATAAACCTACTTTTAAAAATTTGACTAGCAATTATTTATATTAAGCAGTATACACCTATAATATTATATAATACATTCCTACATTTAATTGTTTTAAATATTATATATTACTTACTATATATTTAAATAAATGGTGGTCGAAAATTATCTGAAGAAGCATAAACATTAAAGGCATAATATATACGAGTACCCTATACCTCTACTTTATTACCTTTTACGAGCAAACTTCGCTTAATTTAGGATTTAGATTTCCACGGCCTTACTGATAAAAAACGACGTGGAATTAAGAAATACTTAAATTTGTGTTCTCTTTTCACTAAGTGAGAATCACAGAACACCTAATATAGCTATATTAAGTGTTCTGTGGTGAGAATAGAAAGAAATAGATAAATAATGTTAAATTTAAGTAACCAGTAATCAAATATTATGAGTATTAATTTTCAATAAATAATTTTGAAATTCAGTTCACTATCTTTTATGATCACTTCACCCCACCACCACCAACCCCACATACACACATAACTATTTTGAGGGTATTTACAAAAAATATAAATTCCTTTATTTGTAGATATGTGTACGCACATTTTTCTATAATATATTTAATACGTAAAATGGACTAAAAATAAAACTAGTACGATTATTTTTAGTACTCGTATGTTTAAATTTTCAGGCAAATATTACACCAAAAGCTTACAAGCGCTACAATCGTAGGTCATTCACTTCAGATTAATCAGCTGTTTGTGGTAGTAGAATAAACTAATCCGAAATTATTTCATAACAAAAAAAAATCTTGTATAAAAGGGTATCACTAGTTTTACGTTAATAAACTTCGAATGAAAATATCACACATTTACAAATTACTAAATTGCTCACCTCCAACATCCAAGTTGTGACGACCTTCCGCATGAAGGGTTGAATATCAATCTGCACATTTTGAAAGTAATCTGTGTGCAATGCATGGGAGCGCTCCAACGTGAGCAAGTTCAGCAGCAGCCGAGGATCACCGTCCAAAGCACGGTCGGGACCAGCGACGCACATGTCGACGACCCTCCCGCTGCCACCGCTGTAATTGCCGGTATTCGGAAGATTCTCGCCACAAGACAAATCCATTTTGACCCACAAAGTACACTCAGTAAATTACAAACGTATAGTTCCAATTTAATTTCCACACAATAAAAGAAGTAACCTCGCAGAATGTTTATCGTAAAGTTTTTTTAAACACCGTAAAAACGCACTGCCGCCCCGTGAGCGGCTAACAAGCAACTACAAAGTGTAAAGCTTGAACGGTGAATTGTGAAGCTATTCGGTTGTATGTATTGGAACTTGCATGCACTCCATGTTCGTAACCCCTCCCTTGTCCTTTAGATTAGGACAACCATGTGTAAAGTAAGAAATATAGGATTCTTTCATTGACTCACTGAAGTATTAACTTACATAAAATCAAAATAGAAAAAAGTAAAAATAGCTGTTTTTACTACGCCTAATTTCCGCTATATTAAATTGAAGTATAGGAGAACAACCACTCTAAATTCCCACACCGTATAGTTGTCCAACCCGCCCAGATTTACCAAAATAAGTCGAAGTCGGGGTCCTCAACTTTGGACGGTGCTTTACTTAAATCTAAATTCAATAAGAATGGTGGTTAATGGCGTCAGTGCTCCAGTGTAAGAACTTGTGTATGTCAGACAACAACGTATTATCGTCATACTCGTCGTTATCATCAGTTCAAAGTTTAATAATCAGCTTGCAGGAATTAGTACTTAGTACACCATAGAAATTTTAATTTTAAGAATCTAACAGCGCAACCATTGCCAAATTTAATAGTAACATGTGACGTGTAATAAACACTAACCCTATTCAACTTAACCTGTGACATACTGACTGGTGGAAAGTCTACATTCTACAGTATGACAGAAAAATTGCAAGGAATATCGTGGGAAATAAGAAATATAAGTTACACCCCAATTTAGGAAGTCTCAAACTTAGTAAACTTTGGAGAATTTAAAAATAAAAGTATTTCGAGACCAACTTTTTATTTCATTGCATAATTTTTTAAGGTAAGGTAACATTCTTGAAACATGGAAAGACTGTTTCTACGCTTTCGAGTGTGGTGACCCTACTTTGGGTACCCTTTTGTTCGGGACCTTCTAGTAAAGATAACGCAAATTAAAAAATTAAAAGCTAACTATCAGCTTTATTTATAATTATGATGATTTAAAATATATTCAAAATATTAAAAAAATATTAAACTCTTTAATAAAAGGCGTTTACTTTTACATATTTGTATATTATGATCATTGATATATGATTCATGTCATAATATACCTAATATAGAAATAAAACTTATAGTTTTCTCATATTTTTATAAATCATGTAGGTATCTAAGATCATATACCTAGTTACTTTGATAATTTAATAGCGGTGTGAGACAGTGTATAGAAGAATTTAAGCTCCAATTTCAGAAACTATTATGGTAGGAACTATGTCCATATTCTTTCTTGGTCTTTTTTATACGTATATAAAACATTTTATTGTTTGTATATATAAAACTGTTTGTCACCTTTATTAGGATAAGGGTGACAAACGAACACACAGTACACCTAATGGTAAGTGGTTGCTGCGGCCCATAGATGTTTACATTACGATTACGAATCAAAATGCGGATGCGTTGTCATCCGTGAGGACTAAGATGGAATGCCTCGTTTCCAGTAAAAAGGGTATCCGGTTCTTTACACTCACCATACGAAACACAGCAGCATTAAGCTGCTATTTTACGCTGGTATTCTGTGAGAGCGTGGTCCTTCCCCGGTCGAGCCGACCCATTCATGCTACAACTATACCTCTTATATAGCTGCAGCATGGCTCTACCACGTAAAAAATGATCATGTTCGTTGAAATCAGCTTATAATTCTTATGAAGTTCAATTTTTGACACTTTTGGGTCGATTAAGAAATATGAAATATAGCTCAAAGTATGTATATTATACAGCAAAAATTTCGTCTAAATAGTTTCATTCAAAATTTCTTCCTCTATTTTCCACACTAATGCTGTGTCTCTCAAGATTATACAAATCGTAATCTTCTTAAAATAAAAAAATATCGTTTCCATCTCCAAAAAATATCATACACAAAAATATAATATGAAAATGTATTAAGTTTTATTTATTATTTTTCTAATTACATACATTTTTTATATTTTTACGCAGAGTCAATATAACAATTGTACAAATATAATAATAACACATTAAAATTTTAATTCCAACAACGGAGGTGTATAATCGGAGGGCGATCGAACGTAGCAAGAGGGCTGAGGGCAGCTGCGCGTGCGCAGGCCGGCTGCGTGACGCAAGCCGGTTGACATTTATTGTAAATCCCGACACACCTGATCTTGAAAACTAGTCATTATAACAACTCCATTCTCTTTCTAGATTTCTATTGTCAATGAGCGCGTGCTCAGAACGTGCTCTTTTAAAATTTAAATAGCCCAACTTTCCTCAACACCTGGCACTGTGCGCTTACTTGGCTTCAAACAATAAGATCTACAATTTTAATATGCATGTTTCATTTTACCAAATCTAAGGAAGGTTTTTGTTTACTATCTACATAGTTTTTATTAAAATTTTATTCAGGTTAAGAAATTTCATTCAGAAGGTTTATTTTTAACTGTAATAAATTGGTTTCTGTAGAATGGAATACACTTAACAAACACCTTCCAATCCGTGACGTACATCATGCCAAGGAATCCAGCTATACTAAACGCTATTGCTGACGGAATGAACGACATTAATTGTTGTGTTGTCTTTCTACCTAAAGCCATTTTAAAATTTAGTACTAGCTTCTTGTATAATCTTAATATTCTAAGCTTCTCAAAATTTTGATCTCCTCATAATATCTCTTAGGACGTGACAATTTTTTAACAAAATGTGACAATAAAGCTGTACAACAGGGTGACAAGTAACATTGTAAACAGTAATTTTAATCAGAATTTTAAAAGTAAAAAGCGTGGCGATTATATACTCTTTGATAAAAAGGTTAAGTTTCTAAAGTCAGGAGTTTTGGCGGCAACTAGACCCGCGGCGGTTTGCTGCTATGAAAATGTGGTGCGATTTTGTGTATGTGTGAAGTGTCTGCGCATGTGAACTATTAGTGGAAACGGTGAAACAAGTGCTGTGATGGTGATGTGATTCCTAAGATAAGATGTCTGTTTGCTTAGGCGCTTTGAGATACCATCGCCAACTATCAGCTGTCTGCTGGCTCAAATTGCCGTCAAAATCTTCTAAGGGCTGAGCAATGTGACGCATCAACATATTGTGAAGCAGTATACTATGAAGGATAATTATACATTGTAACTTCAGGCTCAGAAGGGCTAGAACCCAGAACCGTAAAGCCAGTTATAAAAAAATTTAAAGTTACAACTTTCTAATTTTTGTTTGAACTTTTTGCATGACGTGCATGAATAGACCGGCTCGATCGGGAAAGAATGACGTTATAACAGAATACCAGCGTAAAATAGCAGCTGATTGATGCTGTGTTTCGTATGGTGAGTGTAGGAGGAGGAAGTTTATTTCTTCTACATACTATGTCTGAGCGGTGACTTAATACTGTGAAATTATTTTATTCTTTTTATTTCATTGAAGTCCACTTTTACTTTTTATTAAAATAATATGTGTAGGTCTCTATGCACCCAGCCAGGGGCGGAGCAAGACTTAAGTTTGGTGTGGGCAAGATGATGTTTGTGAGGCCCTTCGCGACGGATGAATATTTTCAATTAATTTTATTGAATTTCCATTACAACTCGTCACAAATCCACTGCTGGACATAGGCCTCCAACGATTGTCACTGTCATGAGCCACCTAAATACATCAACAACGTGCATGTTTTTCCTAGTTATTCGGTCTGCATTTAGTAGGGGGTCAGCTCGCTCTGCTTCCAGGATGGTGCCACTCGGTAACTTTTCTTCTCCACAGCTTCTTCGAAATATGTCTGGCCCATTGACATTTCAAAGTTTTTTAACATGTGTCAAAACAACACCAAATTTTTATCGTTATCAGATGGTTGGTATAGAAATGCCTTGAATGGATTAAATTTTTGACAGAAACATTCGTGGGCGTGCACACAATAAATTACTAATGATTTCGTAATTTGATGTAGTATAGTATAGTAGTATATAGTATAGGAATATATACGGGACAAAGAAACATTCACTTTTATATATAGCAATAGAGTGAGATACCTACATTTTTTAAAGTATGTATTTGTGAAGACTATATGTTTACCAAGCTTTTTCGATAACATCAATAACAAGCTTAAAAACAAAAATTGCGAGACAAGTCAAGCAACAGTGCGACTAGTATATACACAGTAATTTATGGTGTGAACGTAAAATTGCTTGACAAACCCAATGTCAAACATAATATACCTACATTGTTTAAGTTTTTATTCATTGCGAACGCAAACGGCAACAAATCTTAAAATTTGTCGTAATGTTTGCGCAGTTTCCTGGAGTGCAAACGCAAGCTTCAACGAAACATATTGTGTGACTTATTTTATGCTATACGTTTAGAAACGTTACAAGTAGAATGTTTTTGATGTTAACGTACGGATACGGTTAGACGTATTCTTCAAAAAAACATGAGCGTAGTTTTCCAACAATCCTTGTATAAGGGTGACAAGAACGCATCTTTTTCTGCCGACATATGTCGATTAAACCACATAATAGATAATAATAAAGAACATTAAAAATCACTCTCTGATAGCAAACTTGTGAGTTTGAACGTAGTTACAACGACGCTAATGTTCATAATACTTTGCAAGATTCGGATGCAACCTTCGTTAAAATAGCCTACCGATTGTTGCGGCGCACATATTAAATCAAAATGCACCTTACGTTCGAGTGCGAGCGTCACGACTATCACTTAGCCTGTTACGCGCCTTTGTTAAGGCCGCTCCGACTGTAGGGTTAGGTGTTGTGAGAAAACAAATTGAATCCTTTGATAATAGTTGTTAGTAGAATACACCGAAGTATTATGCAATTTTTTGGTAATTTGCTGATAATGAGAACATTATTATTCAATTCAACGTGAAGAATATTAATATGCAACATCGAGAAAA